AAACAAGCTCACATATTTATTTGTTCTCACACAGGGCTTTTTGTCATGACAGTCTATAAATGCCTACCTTGACATGCCATCAAGACTTCCTCCCTTAAAACATTTTTCTCAGCCTCTTTGGCCATGGAAGCTGTGGGTGTCATACCCAGTGTGGCTTGGGGGAGGGCGGGGGGGCATGTACTCCTCAGACATTCAAAATCAAGCATTCATTATGGCATAGGCCATCGAGAATGACTTGGTTTTATATTCTGCTCAGTGAACCAAGATTACCTACTTCACTGCAAAGAACTGTGTAGCAGACCATCTCCTTTGTTTATTCTGTTTTCAGACAGACAAAAAGCAAGCCTGATGAATGACACATAGATGCCCTAAAAAGTTGTTAACTAGAACCATTCTACAGTTTCCCACTCCAGAGCTTCACCCTGTCTCTGATAACATGGCAATCCCCTACCCCTCCAAAGGGAAACTGCCTTACATCTTACCAAAAATGCTTTTCCCCCTTAAAATACAGTGACAAGGCTAATTTTCTTGTAAGTGCAGGTTACAGCTTGTTGGTCCAGATCACATTTGCAGTGGGAAGTAATGTAACGCTCCCTTTTCATTTCTCCTGGCCAGCAATCACTTCATCTCTGAAGCAGAGTGCTGTGTGAGTCTGCTCTATAAAGCTCTGTCTCATGAGCACTGCAGATGTCCTTGAGGCGTAAGTCTGAGAGTAGTCCAGGTAGCTGTGAACACCACCTGAGTGAGGCAAAGGATAACAATAAAGATGGCAGAAGTGCCTATATTTCACCAGGTTATTCTCTTTTGGTTTTGGTTTTGGTTTTGTTTTCTATATTTAAAAAGGTCAGTGTGCTCCAGCTTTAAAAGAATGACAAATAAATCAATTATTACAATTTCATCAAGAATTTTTTAAGCCTTATCTTTAATAAGATCTCACAAAAAAGCCTCTTAGTATACCCAAGTTACTATCACTCAGCAGCTGAGATAGCTGTATACAGCAGGGTCCTTTCCATCACACGGACACTTGAAGTTTGGGTTGGCAATACTAATAGCACACCCTTGAACTGTGTCTCCATTCTTCAACATGACACTAAAAGTGGACTGTGCTGCTCTGGAGCATTTTGTCAGCTCACCGTGATTGAAATATCCTCCCTGAGGCTCTTTTCTCCTTAATATCATGCAGGATTTCTGCCTCCTCTTTTAAAAGAAATTTCCTTGTTTAACTTCTCTAGGGTCACTGTACACTGGTACAGAAAAACAGGTATAAGACAGGTCTCTCTTTCATGTTAAATTTCTGTGCATTTCAATTCTCCATAGAAAATTATCATAATTTCTGGATCAAATTACCTGGTTTTAACTACTGACAGGATCAAATTAACAAGAAAAAATGGAATATAAAATGAAACACATTGTAATGAAGGTGTGACACGCAGAAGTACTGCTAACAGACTGAACTCTCTTCCCCTGTTCAGAAAGGCACCTGCACATTTCCCGACCTTACAGCAGGCCAATAGTGAACAGACAAATTCAACAGGCTGAACAACGCATCTGAATTTAACTACACCTCTGCCTTCAGTGACTGAAAGCCTCTGGTCTCTTGGATTCGGTAACCTGCCAAGTTCAGAGGACACAGGCATGAAAATACTATTTTCTATAGAAACTTGTATTCAAAGAGGCAATTTTATGAAAGGACTGTACACTATGCAGACAACATAGAACATCAACAATCAACAAGCCAAAACCACTACGTTTCTGTCCTTTGCAAATCAAATACACAGACTTGGCACATCTACACCGTGCATTAAAGCAAACATAAAATGTCCAAGTTACTGGGGATCTTGCCAGCCCTAGAACTGACATAGCATCCTCAGAAAGAGAAGTTGTTTACTCAAAAGTTAATACAACTCTCTTACTTAGAGAGCTAAACTATCTCCGCGTGGCATTATGCCATACAATAGAGATGTAACACAGTTACTGCTCGCTACTGCAAGGGTCTCTACTCCCTTAATGCACTTCTTAATCACCTTCTTCCCTTTTGATACCCAGAAGAGCATCTTCAGCAATACAGGGGCCTGAATGTCCATTATCTGCTTTTGCTCAGCCTAACTCTCATTTAGTACACAAGCATTCATGAACAAAGAGTTTCTGAACCTAAGATTCAGCTTAGGTTCCCAAATTTATCAAATTATTACACTAAGCACAAGGTCTTTTCCTCAAGTATTTACTTCTTCCTTTGCTCTAGCAAACACCAATAATTAACAGCAAATAAAAGGCCAAAGAAAGCTGCCACAGTAATATTTAACTACCAGTTTTAGAGAAAAGGTTAATCTTTGCGTATGTTTAAGTGACTATATCGAAACCCAGAGTTCGATACCTTCATTTCAGATGCTAGTTCTACTTTCAACATCACTTAAAAACATAGAGATAACAGTCCTGTTTACTGTTTTGTCTGGTCACATTTATTCATTCCAATATTTAAATTTTTAAAGTTTTTAAAGTTCATCCGGAGCAGTGTTGAGGGTGGAGAAACAGAGGACTGTTTGTTAGCTTTCAGCAAGTGACATGGATCTTGTCCACTTCTGTATCCTTTCAACTATTACGATACTTATGTAGTAATTAAAAATTTCAGCATTCATGTTCTCCACCTTACAGAATTTGCTACCCTTACATTTCTTCCACAAAACACATTTGACACATCTGCAAAATTATTTAGACTTAAGAGATCCATCTGCAAGTCATACTCTCATTTCATTATGGTCAGTAAACTAAATGTTGGGTATACTTTTATGAATGTCTATTTTCAAATCATTTGAACAAATTTATATGGTATACAGATATGCAAAACAGGCAGTGTTAACAGATGTTGCCCTCTAAACTTTAAAGCCCTCATCCATTACTTTGAAGCTACAGAGGTCGGTATTTAAGATCTCAAATAAAATACACATTTCAGAATACAATTCTATAAATAGTAGCAATTTTTTAAGGGCCTGGTATACTTATGATACAGAAAGATTCCTAGAAAAAGTCTTCTGAAATAGAAGCTTTGATGGATAGGAGCCAGTAGTTTAAATCAATATACAACCTTGTAGCAAAGCAATGTTGGTGCAAGTTTTATATCTCCAGATCTTACTTTGTACTCAGGTTCCACAAAGCCTAAACTCAGAGCTGGAAGAATTCACTTTGTATCCCAAATACAACAGTACAATCTGTCATGGGAAAAGGACAATTTGGAAACCAGTGCAGTACTGTTACAGCCATATGGAAATTCATTGTGGGAGTGATTGGTAGTATATGCATGCACTGTGACTTGCTTCTATGTAACAGTACTAACTGGCATAACTAGTATAAGGAAAAGGCTAGCTTACAATTCTGATTAAATTAGTAGACCTGCTTTGTACCAGTAATTTCATCCTGGAATGCCATATATTCCTATTTCTCACCTAAGCCAACGGGAAAAGGGTAAAAAATAGTTAGAAATGCACCACCGAAGAAACAACCTCCACATCCTCCATTCCTCACAGCTCTAACGGAAGATCTCCAGCAGCATTTTCCTGCACTTTAACCACATGATACTATTTACAAACAATCTGAACAATCAATATGAGTTACTATTATGTCTTTTATGCGTTACTTTTTCTTTTAAAATAATCTGTGCATCTCAATGCCCCAAATTTGGAAGTGGAGCATTCCTGAATAACAACTTCCTGGTATACCATTTCACCTCATATGCAAAAGTTTCCTTCACTGATGGCCTGGAAGAAGTAGTGGAAAGCATTAGATTGTGGAATGGTCAAAAGACCAAAGCAATGTGGAGGATGTTAGTATTCAATGAAATTACTTACCTTTGCCTGTAAAGTTAAATCCTTGCCTGAAGTTTACTGCTTTTCAGTCTGGGAATAATTTCTTTTTGCTTCCTCAGCTTGGAGAAAACAGCGGTAACTCTGGGTTCAGGCTGAGACAAGAGACCATTAAGTGTGCCAGAAAGGTGTCTTTTAAGGGAGGTAATAGCTGAGCAGAGCATTTCTGTACCACAACTTCAGATGCAAGAATGTATATCTCACCTTAAGCTATTATTTTTAATTTAATTGTTAAGTACCCTTAGATCTTCCTAACCTTTCTGAGGCACTGTGAGGATAAATACATCAAAGGCCTAAGGCAAAAAGGTACCGTCACACTGGGAGTTAAACCCCAGACAGACAAGATTTGAGAGACACACTCAGTATTTCTTCACCAGTCATTGAAAAATGGAAGTTCAAATTCTTAAAAAAAAAAAAAGGAAAAAAAAACAAAAAAAAAAAAAGGCAGGAAAAAGCTGTATGCCTTTCTCTGGCTGAAAACATTGAAGTAACCAATTATCTACATGAAGCAGAAGATTCTGACTGTAATACTTATGAAAAGTGACACTAATTTATCTAACTCATCTTCTCTCACCTGGTCCCCTCCTCATTCAGCTATGCACTCTCTGAACTTTTTTCATGTAGGTTAACTTTTCAGGATCAGTAATTTCAAATAGCTTAAAATCTACTTATGGCTTTTCAAATAGCTTAAAATCTACTTATGGCTTAACAATCATAGAATCATAGAATAGTTAGAGTTGGAAAGGACCTTAAGATCATCTAGTTCCAACCCCCCTGTCACGGGCAGGGACACCTCTCACTAAACCATGTCACCCAAGGCTCTGTTCAACCTGGCCTTGAACACCGCCAGGGATGGAGCATTCAGTGGAAGAAATGAGTGGACTTCAAACCTATTTCCTTTATAAGGGAGCAACGGCTTGCATTAATTGCCAGCAAACAAGTAGAATAATTTCCCCAGTTTGATCCTCAAATCTGTACTGAATAACCATGTCTGTTCTTTCATTTAGAAATCTTCTGAAAGGACAGGCAGATAATTGTAACACAAAAGTTCTAAAAGTGAGAAACACAAGTCAGTGATGTTCAGATTTTTACTACTTGTAAGTTATTTAAAAAAAACATCAGATCAAACACACAGTTACATCATTTCCCTTTCTACCAGCACAAGAGTCTTCCATATTCTCAGCAAATGTAATACAGTAAGGAAGAAACATAAGAAATTTAAAAAATGAATGAGAACTATGGGGAGAGGGAAGGGAAGTTAGAAAGACATGGCCTTGAATAATGAGGCAATGCAGAGAAGGTTAATATTCTATGAAATTACTTACCTTTATCTGCAAAGGTAAACTGTAGTCTGAAGTTTACTGGTTTTCAGTCTGGGAATAACTTCTTTATATTTCCTCAACTTAGAGGAAACAGTGGTACTTGCAGCAATGCTAAAAAAGTAGGCTTAGTGAGTGGGTTTAATTTTAAGTATCAGGGAGGAAACAAGTCACCAAGCAGGCCTTAGACTGGAAATAGGAATTTTTAATCTTTCATTTTTCCTGCTGTAGCTCACGGAAAACAGTGCAGACTGGCTACAGAAGAATCATGCCAAAGAACATACGAGGGCTCATTTTATGAGATCAGTTTTGGAGTTGCAATTCTAAGGTAAAGTAACTTTATTTAGCTATCCATCTTTGAATGATTAATCCACTCACTGCATGAACTTCAAATGAACTACACAAATCTGAGCCAGGTCTATGTTTTATAAAAAAACAACAAAACCAGAAATAGGGGGAGAAGTATGAGATCCTGCAGGCATTTTGCTCAGACAGGCTTAGTGTTTCTTAAAATATGGTACTCTGATTATGCTCATAAGGTCTGGAAAAGGGTAATGCTACAGTCTTTACTTACACAATAATATAACATTACATATGTTATTTTAGAAGCATTTCACCAGTGTAGGCGAGCTATACACATACAAAAATAGATACTTTTTGGATCCAGGAGATGATATACAGTTTCTTGAGGAAAAAAACACACAACAAACCCCCCCAAAAACAACCGTCCACGTTTCTCAACTATTAAATGATAGCAAAAATGCTAACTGTAATATTTTTAACTGAAACATACAACATAATTATGTTGGAATTTTAACATACAACACCTTTACGGGCAACTGCTATTATACAAAAGGCAACTAAAGAGTTGTATATTGGAGCCATGTCGTGAAAGCCAATATGCAATCTAATTAACTCGCAATGATTCTTCTTTCAAGCTGATTTAACTCCTTATTGAGAAGCAGGAAGAAAGAAGAATCTTTTATTCAGCATTTTAAACAATATATAAGAAAGAAGGAGAAAGGCTATAATAAACAACTTGGAGCCAGCCAAAAGTTGCAACATCTTTTTACAGGAAAAGATGCTTGGTGAAAATTGCATTTACTTTTCCATCCAAAAAGACACTTCCATAGGAGTATAGGAAATGTTAAGAACCATTTTTACATTCAAGGTAATTTTTCTTCAGTTCCTGTGTCACCAAATACAATTGCAATATGCAATCAAAACTTTTTAGTCATTCTGAAAATAGTTAATTTTCTTTTCCATTTGTTTGCAAAATACGTTGTTCTCTGCTCTTCCCATTCCCCCTCCACAGGCATGTAGTTCTGATAAAACTATATACTTCATTATTAAGAGAATAGCTGGCAAACCTATAAACTATGCAAATAACATTTGGATTGCAAACCACGTTTACTACCCTTGGCTGATGGAAGAATGATAATTCCATTCACGGAGACCATACTGACTACCTAAATACACATTTCCTGTACCCCTAATAGCTTCCACAGTTTAGTAAACACATTCCACATATTACAATAAAAGATTTCACATCCAAACTTTTCTTCAACAGAGCATCCTGTATTTATTCATCCTAGAATTTTATGGAGGGAAAGGGAAGAACGCTGCAAGCATTTTACGGCAATTGTACTGGGGTCTGTTATAACACGTGGTTTGATTTTCAAACTATCTAATAAGAAGCAGAACCCTAAGACTCAACGAGTATGTATTAGAAAGCATACATTATGCCCTCTATCAAAAATTACGTAATTTGACAGTAAAATGTATAAGTAAGCCCATAATTACCTTAAGCGTCTGCCACACAGTCAACCCTCTGGGCTCACAAGTCAAAATATTGTGCTAGAGCTCACAGAGAAGAGAGGCAAGGAGAAAAAGGAGGGCCAGGATATGACTTTAGGGTTAAACACTACCCTAAGTCACTTCCTCGACCCCATGATTTAGAATCGTATGGGACTGACAACACTTGCATGTGGAACAGTTTCTACAGCTATGGCTGGGTTATCAGGGGCAGCCTCCCTCCGTGTTTGATAAAAGAGCTTATGCTGTCACAGTCATACCATTTTGAAACACAGAACTCCTGTGACTACTACCTACCTGAAAAACAAAGCATTAGCCACATTTTAGCAATGCATGTCTGGAATAATTCACCCATTCACATCTTAAAAGCTGCAGTGCAATCTGCTTTTTGTGGACAGCAGAGATCCTGTGGCATTTTTCACAAGAGCAGGAGGTTTGCCACATTTTTCTTGGCCAGAGTTTCCTGTCTCCCTCTACTATGTCTCATGGGTCTTAGCTGCTGCCTTCTGCAAAGCTGGCTACATTTCATGTTACTGTAGATAAATAGTTGTAAAATACTATGTTGGAGCATAGAAGATGAAAAGCATTGTGCAATTCTTACATGCATATCAAATAGAAGGTTTGCCCCACATGCAAAGAGGAATACTGACACACTGAACATGTATTTATTAATCAGTTACATCTGCTAGGGCCTTTCACCACCCTCACAGCATCAGATCCACTAACTGAGGTGCAGTTTCAAAAACATTGTACGAAAAAAATCTGTGGGATTCACAGCATACAGAGATTCTCTTTGATTTCATATTCAAGCCTATGAATTTTGCAATAGGTAGAATTTAGGCTTTAATTTGTATTGGGCTTCTTTCCATGCCCATGGAGGAGAACTGCACAAGTAATTTTTAAGCATTTCAGGCACTGTCCAATAACTGAAATGCAATAGGAATGTCTATAAGCTTCTCCTGAAGGCAACTCAGTATACACAAACTCACCCTCAACAATAAATCAGGGCCAGCTATGCCTGCATTGAAATGACAAGAACCATATGGTATGTGGAATACCAAACATTCTTTTGTCCTGTTCTATGAGGGGTAAATGTTTTTACCCCTTGGGAACTTCTTGTGATTTTTCAGTGGTATTCACTGTGGTGCGTTCCTGAAGAAACATTACACAAAACCTGGAGCATTTATTAAAATCTAAAAGTGATCAACTCAAGAATAAGCCTGTGTGCAACTGTGCAAGTATCAAGACGGACTGTAGACCTGAGACTGAATCTATATTCTTGGTCCCTACAAAAACCATCCTCAAGTCCAGCAGAAGCTGTAGAATAAAACCAAGTATATTGAGTATGTCTGCTATTCTTGCTGAAGTACCCAACAGGAATAGTAGCACTATTCACAGGATCCTAGAGGCAGAAAGGGAACAGAGGCAAACAGCAGAGAGTGAGAAAGGAGGGAGAACAGACAAGAAGCAGAGAAGCAGTAGGATTCTCCAGCGCTAGAGAAAACCATCTCCACCCTTCTCAGTAAAGGAAGAACTGCTAGGATACCTGACCTGCTGATACTAGAAAAGGCAACAGAAATAAAAGCAGACCTCCAGAAACACTCAGTAAGAGAATGGAAAATATGAAGATAACAAGAACAAAAACGTAGAGCCTCAGTAGCAAGAATAAGCATACCAAATAGCAAGAGAAAATCAAATGACAGGTGAGGAAGGTCACAAAAGATAAACTCCATTCTTCCATTTTCTCAGCCTTTGCTTTTGAGAGCACCTGGTATCATGGCAGACAAAGGAAGCTTTTGTACTTTGAAACTAACCTGCCATGGGAAACTGCTTGCAAACTGAGGGTTAATACCACAGCCAGTCAGTTGTTTGGGAAGCACTATTTGGAAATAAGTTTGTTAAGCACTGACTATTTTGAAATTATAAAGAGTGTTGGAAAGGCAGAGACCTGAGTGGCACAGAGAAGAATTCTGAGAGTAACAATACAATCAAATGAGAACTTGAACTCACTAGCAGAAATCCTGCCCTCAACAAACACAATAATGACATTTCCATTGGTTTCAGTGAAGCAAAGATTACAGCCAACAACTGATGGACATAAACTGAAAACATTCTCCAGGAAGGCTACAGAGATGTCTGATAAATGAAAGATTGTCCTGTAATGCAAAATATCATAACATGACAGAAAATGCAAATATTAAAACTTTTTTCAGTATTTCAAATGCAGTTTAGAAAAATAATTATACAGAAACCTATGGTTACTGACATTAAAATAGTTCAGGACAAAGATGTGTTACTTAGAAACTGAATTTACAGGAAAGATCAAACACACTGTTTTGCAAAAACCCAAGCATCACTTCTGGCCACTACTGAAGTCAGATAATAGCAATAAGAAATAAATGCATACATGCGAAAAATTATTGATGTTAATTAATGTGTTAACGATAAAACTGATGTGTTATGCACTCATGCTGAAGCCTGCATTTGTCAGAGAAAGGTAAATTAACAACTGCTGTTTAATTTCCCTATGCCTTTGCTTTTACAGCTGGTAGAAGGTTTGCAAAGTACTTGAAAAACTTGACCCTTCTCCAGACTCCCCCGCATGAGTCACCCAACCCTCCTTCAGTCATTAGACTGCACTTCCTGCTGGGATCCAGCAATAAAACAAACGAGAGACACTGGTTCTGGTCATGGTGAGGGAAGTAATAAACCAGTGACAGGTATCCTTACGATATTCAACATTAATTCAAGTATATTATACATATCTACCAAGTGCCAATTCATGGCACTATTTACCTATGTATGAGTCTATGATTCTATGTAGTATCTTACTATTTCTAAAGACATTTTGAGGCACTCAGTTCATTCCTTGCCCTGAAAGCATGCCTTGTTTACATACAGGCAAAAGAATTTGCTGCATTTTATGTGCTTCAAAAATACTGCAGATAAAGATACTAAATTACTTGTACATGTATATACTTAACATGATCTTGATAGCGTATAAACTTAACATGATTTTGATAGCATTATTAAAAGTAAATTTAAAGAAAAAATTCACAGATAATGTTCCAGTATTTCATGTCATTATTAAATTCATGTCAAATATTCTCTTGTCAATTTTGAGATTTTTGGAAGTCAACTGCCAAAAAAAGTTCACTTTTTCTAGTTTGCTTCAATTCACCATAACTCTCAGTTCTACCATGTTTTTAATACATTCACATTCCTGGGCAAACCCCACTTCTGTCTCCCCAGAAATAAATCCCAAATGAAACATCCATTGAGAGAAGTGATCATGCTCAGTCAGCCAAATTTAATAAGAAATTTATCCTTTTCTGTCCACAGATTCTCCTGGTTTTTTAGTTCCAAACTTGCCTACTATTACAGTAACTGTGCTAAGAGAACTGCTGTCTCCATAAACTCCTTGGGTTCATTCCACAGTGTACACAGGAGACACAACCCCTTTAAACTTCAAGGAGATCCCATTGCAGTGTAGAAGAGAAAAATTCAGAGATTATGGAATAATCATCTCCAAATCGATCAATTTCCCCCTGAAGGTAAAAAACTGAAAGAAAGAAAAAAGTTGAACAGTTTCAGCTTGCCTTCTTGAAGGGAAAGTACCCCCAGGGCATGTTGTAGAATGATCCCCATCTCTTTCTCCTGATGCTTATTAAGAGGTCATAGATCTCAGTTACACTACAGCATTCCCAAATGATATCTCCAGCTAAGGACTATGACCTCTTAGTACAAGTACAGGGATATAAAATTAGGAATATTAAGGGTTCATACTAAGAAAGAGTCTGCCTCAACTATCAGTCATTTTGGAAAAACAGTTGGAATTAATGGCATATCTCATGTCTTGTAACAAACAGAGGAGTTCTAGCAAAAGGCACTGCAGGTTTCAGTGTTTCACATAGGTGCAGCACCTTGTGCCAGGGCTAAATTTCTATTTCAACATCAAAGTGGATTTCCACAACAGAATATTCAATACAAAAGGTGTTTTTCTCAAAAAGCACAAGGTATGGCTCAGAACACACTGGGTGAATTAAGATGTGCTTTCTCTTTGTCTTAACGCTATTCCCTCTAACAGCCAGAGTATGCAAGCAGAAGTGATTACTCAGGTCATTACACCAAGACCAGGCAGGGCCTGGAATGTCTTAAAGGACCTTTCCACTGCAACAATTCATTTTCTGACATGGGGGATTTTGTTTTGTTTTCATAAAAAGCTGGTTTATTACACCATCCAGATGATGCCTGAGAGGATAAACTGAGTCCATATAGGTGGTATGTTAGTGAACTACCACACCACCTGGAAACCTTAATACTCTACAGCTGATTGTATAAACATAAATTAAGGTTCTTCTGCAACTGTATTAAGCAAAGTGTTAAGAGCTGTAGGGCATTTTGTTACATTTGGCTTTCAAGCTATGAATTTAACTGCTGAACATATAAGTAATGATAATCTGTTGTACCTCCCATTCTGTTCATTTCTGAATGCTAATTAAAGCAAGCACCAATAATAAAAACAGCAAGTATTTCAAGAAAATTATTTTAGAAGGTGCAGGAAATTCACCACTTAAAAAGACTAGTTTGTAATGGCAATTCCAGTAAAATAGAAGCATGGAATAAACAACAGGTATTTTACTCTACAGTAGCTGATTCTCTGAAACGCTGTACTGAATACATACCATAGGTGTGTACATGTTTATACATGCAAGACAATCATTACTTTATTTTTAATGGTGTGCCTCCTCTTCGAATCATACACATGAATTCCCATTGTACTGGGTAAAGGTCAGGGTAGCTCTGACCCTGTATCAGCAGCAGCTTTACAATTCAAAGTCTGTGTTACTGAAGACTGTGAAAAGCAAGACAAGCTTGGCCACAGGATCCATATGGATTACAAGAGTAATTGGAAGCAGCATAGTTATCATAGGGTAAGTAATGACTAGTTTTCCTTCTTCACATATGTGCCAGTGCTGATGATTCCCCCTGCCCCCTCCCTTCTCTCCCCTGCAGGCAACCATCTTCCTTGGACAATAAGAATTCTGAATTTCAGATGCATAGATCAAATAGTGATTATAGTACTGCTCTCCCAGTACTGGAATGAGCTCTGGCAGTTCCATCCTCCACAGAATGCCTGATAAAGGTCAGTGGATTACCTCATGTCATCACCTGGCAGATATCAGAAATTGGAACCTCTTCTGAAACAGGAGGGAGATGTCACTCGAGCATTGGGAGAGCAAAGTTAATATTCAATGGGAAAGTCACAGCAGCCAAACGGTAACAGAGAGGTACCCTGTACTGCCCATTTGGAATTGCTCTGTGAGGAAACGGCTTGACCTTTAGAACACCCAGCAGTGGCTATAAATAAATGGAACAACAGACTATCAATGTAGCAAAGCAAAGTTCTGGATTTAGCTAGGGCAGATTTTTAACAGAATGCCAGGGAGGCATTTGAACTAAGTCTGAAAAAACTAGGGAGCTGTATGGATAAGTCAGTGCTTAGAAACAGGGATGATGATGTAGAACTAACTTGACAACCACAAAATGCCAAAGCCTGAATGTTATCATGGCCCCTCCCAGAACCTAATGCTATTGCACACACCCACAATGGCATGTTAGGCATGCCCAATTGATGCTTTCACAGTCCTATGTCAAAAAAGCACCAGATAGACATGTCCTCTAGTATAGCTTAGGACTGTGACCATAAGTCCTACTGCTGCGCATCATTTGGGTAGAAGAGACTGAAGTAAGGCATGCTGTTTACATAAACCTCTGAGGTACTCAGATTCTGGGTGACAGGCACAAGGGGTCTTTTAAACCTGCAAAACAGTGTGCTGTCCTCACTATTAATTCCTCATCTACACTGAAAGAGTGCTTACTTTAGAAGCTTTGAGCAGAAGTGATTAAAAGCATGGTTCGTATGTGTGATGCCCAAGTCCTGGGATGATTTGATTCATGTTCCAGACAGGAATATATAGCTCGTGTGTGTAACACTACTTTGGCCAAACTCTGCTGCCATACACCATTTGCCCAGTAAGGCATGGATTGCTGCAAAATGAGTCCTAAGAGCCACAGACATGATGCTAGACTATTTAAATGTAGAAGACAGTTGAAAGGCAGTTACACCAATAACTACACCTGGTAACAGCTGCATTGGGTCTGCCTACACAAAACCCATTTGCCAACTATAGTTTCCAGTTGAGTGGTTTCTGCGGCAGACCAGCACTTCCTGGGCCAAGAAGGAGGTGTCTCTGTCCATGGTACTCAGTGAGGAAACTGCTTCCTCGTGGGTGGCACTGACACCAGCTTTGATCCAGTATCTTCCCAATCACATTCGGAGTTCATGTTCACATGGTTGTAAAGTCCTTGGTAGACATATACAGTAAATAAGCCAACCAAACCTATCCTTGCTAGTATGTGCTAAAAGAATCACCTGCCTTTTTTAGTGGTGGAAAATCAGGCTAAAAAAAAAAAAGAGGACAATAGGAAGCAAAAATTAAATGGGGAGAGGGGAAAAGACAAATGAAAGATATACAGGAAGCACTCAGCCCCTTGGAAAACACCACTTGCTTCCTCTCCCACCTCCAAACAGAACAAAAGTTCTCAAGAGTTCTGGCATTTACAATTTATGCTCATGAACAGGTTTATTACGGGGCTTTCCCAAGTCAAGAATAACAGTTCCATGATACAACCATCAGCTGTTTTCACTTGCAAAAGGTTACTGACAGACAACTCAGGAAGTGCAACAGGCTGCTTTTAAAACACTCAAGAGGTGAAGATCTACTGGTTTTATGACTGATTAACAATCTCAACAGCAGAGACTAATGGTTTCCAAGCAAAATGGGGAGTAGTTTATGCCTCCTTGCCCATGTTGGCTGTTCATCATGGACCTACTGTCTCTCAAGGTAAGCATAGGGTTTTGAAGAACAGCTATGCAGCCTACTTTCACAGCTTTCAGCTCTAGCATATAAAAGTTCCTTCCATACTTAAGCAGTACCAAGCTAGCTAGTATTTATACAGAATTTTGATATGAAAATCTAAGAACACAATTATCAAGACCTTCATCATCCTCCCTAGGAGCATGAAGTTTTGCATACAAAGTTCTGTATGGCAGATTCTCCAAATTGCTATGACTTTACCAGGCCTTGGCCATTCTGTTATGCATATAAAGGCTTCACACTGTTCTCTGAATTCAAATTTATGATTTTCGGAGACAAAGGTTGTAGTTACCACCTTGTTCTCCCTTTTCCCCAGGTATCAAAGATTTGAAGTTGCAGATATGGGTCCTGGACCACATTATTCTGCAAGGATGTAATTCCACAACATGCAAACTCAAAGAAGCATCACTGAACTACCATGTGTGTTGGCTGGCACAGGAAACTGGAAGAGAGGGTCTGCTTTCCACTCTATCAGTCAAATAGAACATAATTTTGTGGATAAGTCAAAAGTTTGTGGTCCAAAGCAAATGGAGAAGTAGAAGCAGTAGTAAAACTGGGAAGCCCTCTAAGGAAAAAAAGAGACCTAAGCTCAAATCCCAAGTCCAAGCACTGTTTGTCTTTCATTCAATAACTGTTTAATGTAAAATCCATATGCAGTCCTTGGTGCAGGAATTCTCAAAAGAAACAGGGTGACTCTCTCAAGTGAAGTAACTGTACTTGGCAAATAGTGCTTGGCAGTGTGCCACTAACTGCAATGAGGCAGATGAATATGCTTTTGGTGCATCACAGATTTAACTTCTTAGAGTCCTTGTCCTCAGAAGCACTTTCGTCAAGCTCAGATTTTTCTCTGTATTGCAGAAATGACCAAGGGCTCTTGCCCTGCATCTTTTCTCCACATAGGCAGTGGAAACTGAAAAAGCAATGGCAAGATCTGCAATGTATTTAGGCAGCTCTAGGATTATTTTGATAGCAGGAAGAGCAATTCTAGCTAGGATATCAAAGAATGACACCAAGTGCTCACAACATTTATCTTGTAGTCTCACTGTACACCGCATACATCCTTTGGGACAAAATCCCCTGGAAAGTTTTCAAGTCTTCCAGTGAAGGAGATGGTTCTGTCATTACCAACTCATTCAGAAAGATAAAAGATTCCTGGGCACTAGGAAGAAGAGAAAAGAGGCAAGAGAAGGAAAGCATTACAGTGGAATCTCTATTACCTGCCATTTGGTAAAGTCCATGATCACCCATGGTGCATGCTGTCTGTGAAGCTGTTAGGTAGCACAAGCTCTTATTTGTAGACATGCAAAGAGGTGTTTCTCAACCACATAGGAGGATAGTATCTATGGAAATTAATTTTGGTCATAACTGGAAACACAGAAGTACTGACTTTGCTAGAAGTTCCCAGCCTAGTGATACTCCAGTGCTGATGGAGAGCAGCACTCAGAACAACTGGGCCCCAGTATATCTGCTGGGATTATTTTCATATGGCTTCTGAGAGGAATCTCTGAGGTGAGAGAGAGCAAGATTGCATCTTCTCACTGGCAGGGGACACACAGCTATAGCCAATAACCTTTTCAACACCAGGAACCACTTAGGGGGTAATATGTATGTATGTTACATACTGACCTGACATGCTTACTCAACCTGTGAAAGCTCCAGCAGCAAGCCAGAGCCCAAAGCATAAAACTAAGTCCATCTAGTCACCTAGAGGTAAAATAAATATCCCATGGAGAAAGTTCTCATGTATTTTACCTCAGAACACCCTTAGCCTTGAAGGTACTATGATTCAGTAGCCTTCTTTCAGACAAGTTTTACAGCCTGTAATGCCAATGGGGCTAGTAGGGAAGTCCTTTAACACACACTAGGTCTACTGACATTCAGGTGGAAGATGGCAGTCTTGTGTACCAATATGTCCATTGCTGTTGAGTTATTCAACAACTCAGCCAACTAGGCTGGCATCTTCACTGCATGTCTGACTGCAAGCAAGGAATCATGATAAGATGCTCTTTTTTCTAGTATTACTTTGGTTATGGCTGAGACTTGTGATGCTAAGGCAACGTACAGGATCTTCAAAAGAACCAAGCTTGAGCTGAATGCCTCTGAACAGAATCATGCAGCAGAGAGGCAGCTCTCATGTGTACAGAGAAGACTTCATAGAGAATAATCCCTGAGAAACAGGATTGTTCTCTGTGTGCTGTGAAGGGAGAGGAGATTGTAAATCAAGCAAGAGAAGATTAGGGAAAGCATCTGACAAACTGTGCCCTACCAACAGCATATATGGCAACATTGCAAAAGGTTAAGTTTCTTTTCCTGTTGGCAGAAGTAGGAGAGGATGTGTAGTTGAGGATTTACCAGTAGTGCACCACATTTGAACCTGCATGCATGCATGTTTCTACAGTGGGATCCAAACTGATGCATCCTAGAAGGACATCAGGTTCATAGTCACGCTAATTATATCCTTTACTTATATACACAACTTAGAGGATGACAATGTGCAAGTGGCTCATGAGTATTAAATGGAAATGCTGCAGGAAGGATAGAGTGAAAAAAGCATTAACATCAGACAGAAACACTATTAAATATACATTTTTGTTGCCAATCTTTTGGAATGACTAAATTAATATAGTTCAACATCTTATCTGCCCATGATTACAAGTATTTCAAAGATATTTTTTTTTACTTTTTCCCCATTTATCCATTATCTGTATTCCACAAACATCACAGGAATTGTCAGCAATTAACATAAATAAATCATCACCTTTTCAGAGAAAGCTTCAGTACATGAATTTCAGATGATAGCAAAAAATATTACCAAATAGCTCATGAAGGACCTGTTCCATTCCCCACTGAAGTCAATGGGAATCTTTTCATTGACTTCAATGGATATTGGATCAGACCCAAATTGAAAAGATCAATAGTGCACACATTACGATGAAAGAGCAGTTATGTCCTCCTCTACAGAAAGAACATGAGTTCAAGTCAAACAACAGATTACAGGAAGAAACCAGTTGGGGAGAACTTTTTTCTTCTCCTTTGAAAAATTTTGCAAGAGAACAGCAATTCAAGATCCTCAGAGCTAAATCTCGCAGCCTTTAAGTAACATTCCTCTTCCACTACCCTAGGTGGGGTACACACATTATATAATGGACAGGTTACGTAATTCTTCAGCACCTCAGATGAGGCCCAGATGGAAAGATCATATATCACGCTAGATGATACACTCTGCCCTTCTCCAGAGAGAATACAGTTGACCCAAACCACAGAATATAGTAGAGAAAATTCAATTTTGGTAAACCTCTTGCCTATCTTTAACAACTTACTGACAGACAAATACCTTAGGGTGCCTACTGGTTTCACTGGGACTCCCAAGAGCAACCAGAGCAATTATGTAAAACTCTGTTGCATCAGAAGACTCTGATGAGAAAGGGAGGTGCAACCACACCTACACGGTCATGCTTTTTTTGGAGACTTTGAATCTGAGCATGGCACCCACAGGCACTGCTGGAAGCCCAAGAAAAAGGCAAGAGACAAGGGAACTTGCCTAAAATGCTAAAGGGAATCCTTATTTTCATTTAATAGGTATTGTGCTTCAGAAGAGAAAGGTAAGCTGCTTGTCTGTCAACTGTTTGTCACTGATTAACTAAAAATAACGTAAAGCAATGAGGTTTTCTTAAATGTTGTGTCCTTAGTTTTAGGCCACACATGCAGCTTAAGACCCTGCATTGAATTCAACTCACTAACAACCTCTTTAGTATTTTTTGCTGGAGAAAGAAGAAATCCTTAACTCTGGCCATTCTATCCAGACCCCTCTCTCAAGGAAGGGTGTATTTTGGTCATCTACATTTATAAACAGAGGACATTTGGCTTTTTGTCAACTTAGTAGTCTAGAAGGATGTGCAGTTTAGGTTTTCATTCACTTCATTAGCTTTCAAACAGTCTGATCTCCATCCACTCGCAATCACAATTTTCCTTGAAAGAGGCAAAGGTATTTTTAGGAGAGTTAAAGAATTTTCTTCAAAATTTGTTTTCATTCCTCCATCCTCTGACATCATACATGTATTCCTGTCTTTACACATGCACCCCAAAATGACTAATCCAGTATATTTGTTTCCACTCTTATTTAACAATATAACTCTCAGCAAGAGCTGCTGTGTTCAGAAGCAGTGCTCCAGGACTCTTCCTACTTACTGCTTCCTCCTCCTGCTTTCCTTCAGTTTCTCAACCCAACTGTGCAAGCACTGTTCAGTGCATTCTGCTTGCAGCTTTAAAGTAAAGAAACAACTTAGCACACAAGGTAGGGGCAGAAACTAACTAACCAGAAAGGAGAAACAGCCATATCAGATCAAGGTGAAAAAAAACAGGGATGAAGTAGTAAAGGGGAGATACAGAGGACTGGGGCACGGGGAATGCTTTCTGGGAGAGGGAAGGAAGAGACAAGCTAAAGCCACTAATTTTTCAACACAGAAAGAGCAAAACAAAGAAGTATGAAAAAAAAGGAGAGAAAAAAAAAAAGTTTTGTAAAGTCAAGAGTGAATATCCATACTGCCAGAAAACATGAGCAATATAGACAAATACATTCTAGAAGTTTGCAGCAGTAGGGAATGGCAGAACTGTCTGCATCTGAAGTTAGAAAAACATTTTACAGGCAAGAAAAGGCAAATCAATATATTAATAAAAGTGAACATTTGCTGCAGCAGATTTTCACCTTCCATAATGTGAAGTTGGGATTAAAGCTATTTGACAAATTCACATTACTTTCTCAACTCTCCTACTGCTCCTACCCACTTACTCCTCTTCTGCTCACCTTCTCTTCACAATTTGTCCTCAAGAACAGCACTGCTACTTGACTTTTATGTTATCCTGCCAGGATGAAGCCTATGGATCTACTGGAACCAAAAATAACTCAGAAAGCTCTCCAAACATGAGGACATGTACACTTTCTAAAAACATTCCCAAATGGGAAGGATGGATTTCCTTGTTTACAAAGTCATAATAAGGAAAGGTTTTTAAACACAACTGCATGACAAAATTAATACATTTTCCACTGTAGGCACTAAAACTAAAGTACCTTTTAACAAAGAATAAAAACACCTTCCTGTTGAAACCGAGTCTGTTTGGACCTACAGTGCCTACTATCAAAAGACCTACAAATCTAAAGGGCAAAACTATTTCAGCAGATTTCATGTGGTTTCCTTGGTGAGGGGGCTGTCTACAACCATTTCAGAGGAACCTGGGCTGGCTAAAGTTCCATTCATGCAGCTCTTCTCAATTCAGTAGTATCTGACCAGCACTCTGTTCCACCCTCTGACTGAAGCTGAAATTTTATTTTACTCTCTATCAATTTGCTTAATTCCTCTCAACCTTCAGTTACTGATTACTGTACAGTCATTTGTTGTTAATGGATTAGACTAACACAAGATCCAGCCCAGATCTGCAACATGCAAATCCATTCATTATGCAGCTGCACTTAAAGTTAACTTACAAATAACCTCTGCGTTCACAAGTGACCTAAGAAAATACATGTATAAGCAAAGTATAGAAAGCTGTACAGCATGAATATAGAAAATACACATGGCAGTTAGGCACCAACAGCTAATGAACACTTTAAATACAGTGACAATGCAGTAATTATACATATATCCTTCAGTATGAAGGAAATCTACAGTGCCCCATTTGCAGTATAATCCTGTCCCAGAAACTGTTTATAAAAGTCTCACCCAAGCACTCAAGTGCACAAATAAAATAACTGAAAAGGAGGAGGGAGATCAGAAGCAGAAGAGATGGGAATCACAAACAGAACAGTGCACAAAGCCACAAAGTGATAAGTATTGTTTACCTGTCAGTTGACATTGATTAATCTTGTGTTCTGTGATATCACTCAGTGACTCAAACACCTGGAGGCAGCTGTCACAGCTGTGCACAGCTTCTTCTTCTAACTCCTCCCCCTCATCCGGCCTTTTCTTACAGTCTAGTACTTCATCTTCTGTCTTGTCTTCTAGTTTACAGTTAGGGTCTGAAAGAAAATCAAGACCATTACGTCAGGCACCTAAGAAGAGAACCTTTAAAAAGAAAAGAAAAAAAATCAAGATAGGTTCTTGTGGCAATGATGAGAAGAAGCATATCTGGCATGACCCTGCAGGACACTAGATTTTATTGCTAAATAAGCTAAAGAGGTTTTTTTTTTATTTTCCTTTTTTTTTTTTTCATCTCAATGAAAGGAGAATTTCCCTTCTACTCCCACAAATGCAGCTCTGTCATTCAAGCAATTCTTCTATACTTCAATGTTAGGTTTGTCAATTTTATCACAGCTATAGAAGCTGCTTTCATCACTGTAAGACAGGATGAACCACCTATGCAATTAGTTTTCAATGAAAAGAAAAAAATCAAATCAATGATTGTGCAGGAACTTCTTTTCACTGTTGACTACAGTGTTTCACAGGAAATTAACAGAATTAAGAGACTAACAAATTTGATTTACATAAACATGAAATTCATCTTGATTTTACAATTCACTCCAATACTCCATCACACACTATTTGACACAGTTAAAGCCCTGGAAAGATTATACTCTGGGTCAAAATGCTACACATACTTTGAACTTGTATATGACTTAAACCAAATAAAGTTCCTGTATTTGCCAGATGACGGAAAACTGGAAACTAACTATTATAAAACCTAAATAATACACAAGGAGGGCTTTGTCTGTTTGACCCATTAACAAGCATTTTGGGGTTCACAGGACAGCTCTAGCCTTAAGGCAGTAGTCCTGAGCCTAGTTGAAGCTTTTACACTGGAAGACATGCACAGGCTCACCACCATCCCCTATGCGCAGAGAAGCCACACAGCTTGCTGCACTACCTTGATTCTGCAGATGACGAGTGCAGAGTAAGATAATGCTAAGTCTAGAACTTTTCCTCTTCCTCTGAGGAATGGAGCAGCTTTAACTTCTGACTTTTTGCCCACTTTACTAAAAGCTTCCTTCAAAAGACAGAAATAAAACAATGTGTCTTCCCTAATAAAGCAAACTGGCACTTAACTTTGTTTTTCCTTGGGAACCACAGTACAACAAGTGAAACACTGAAGAAAAATGGTTGTGTACATTCCAGCAAAAGGAATGCAAGTGTTTCACCACTTCTCCCTTTTCTGCTTTGGCCGCCTCATCTTTTCTTTTAGATATTTGAGAGAGCTGAGGCTGAAACAAGTCATTCTAGAAAACAAACTCACATAATAACAAGAGATTGGGCAAGTACATTTTAAGATGTTACGCTCTTTAGCCAAGGGGGTAAGTAACCAGGAGTTGGCTTCTTGTCCACAACACAAACAGAGGTGGTATCTGTGAACCCAGTTTATTTACTGTTGCAATTGATTAGGATCATGCACAAAACCGAGTGAAATGGAAATACACTAATACTAAATCCATATTGCAATGGGGAAGGGGTGAGGAGAAGCAGTAAGGTGATCCCACTTGAAAACACTCTTAAATCCTCTCTCAGCGCCCTATAGCAATATGCTCACAGTCATTCCTTTATTTGCCACTGACCACAAAGCACAGGTGTTCTTGCTGCCCACGAGGAAAGTCAGGGCTCATGTCATCTTTCTACATCCTTTGGTCCACACTGCTGCACCCTGCCCTTCAACTGCTCAAATACAGGCGGACCCGCAAGCAGAAACTGGAAACAACCTATGTTAGGAAATCTTCCTCATGCTGTGTGGCTTGTGATCAAAACCAAGGAATTTCTTTGACAGGGGTAAAGGGAAGAATTTATTTTAAGGAAAAGAAAAGAAGCCAGAGAGTTGTAGTCTATGGGGCTGAGTCTAGTTGGAGGCCTGTAACTAGTGGAGTGCCTCAAGGGTCAGTACTGGGACCAGTATTATTTAATATATTCATCAATGATTTACATGAGGGAATTGAGTGTACTATCAGCAAGTTTGCTGATGACACTAAGCTGGGAGGAGTGGCTGACACGCCAGAAGGCTGTGCTGCCATCCAGCGAGACCTGGACAGGCTGGAGAGTTGGGCAGGGAATAACGGGATGAAATATAACAAGGGAAAGTGTAGAGTCCTGCATCTGGGCAGGAACAACCCCAGGTTCCAGTATAGGTTGGGGAACGACCTGCTAGAGAGCAGTGTAGGGGAGAGGGACCTGGGGGTCCTAGTGGACGACAGGATGACCATGAGCCAACACTGTGCCCTTGTGGCTAAGAAGGCCAATGGCATCCTGGGATGTATTAGAAGGGCGGTGGTTAGTAGGTCGAGAGAGGTCCTCCTTCCCCTCTACTCTGCCCTGGTGAGACCCCATCTGGAATATTGTGTCCAGTTCTGGGCCCCTCAGTTCAAGAAGGACAGGGAGCTGCTGGAGAGAGTCCAGCGCAGGGCAACCAAGATGATTAAGGGAGTGGAGCATCTCCCTTATGAGGAAAGACTGAAGGAGCTGGGTCTCTATAGTTTGGAGAAGAGGAGACTGAGGGGTGACCTTATAAGTGTCTATAAATATATAAAGGGGGAGTGTCACGAGGATGGAGCCAGGCTCTACTCAGTGGCAAACAATGATAGGACAAGGGGTAATGGGTGCAAACTGGAACACAAGAGGTTCCACTTAAACTTGAGAAGGAACTTCTTCTCAGTGAGGGTGACGGAACACTGGAACAGGCTGCCCAGGGAGGTTGTGGAGTCTCCTTCCCTGGAGACATTCAAAGCCCGCCTGGACACATTCCTGTGTAACGTTATCTAGGTGTTCCTGCTCTGGCAGGGGGATTGGACTAGATGATCTTTTGAGGTCCCTTCCAATCTCCAGCATACTGTGATACTGTGATACTGTGTAATTGTATTACAGAGGAAACCAGATTAATTTTTAAAAATAAAAAACACATTCTGAAGGCAAAAATATATTTGCTGTGCAAAAGCCCTGCCTATACACAAGAGTGCAATCCTTACAGGACAGATTACATTCACAAGGCTCTTTCAAGAGTGAAAACTTCTACTTGGGCAGCTAATTCCAAGCAGAGAAGTAGTCTGCAAATGTACACACCAAAAAGAAGTGCTAATTAAATAAAAGGACTTTACAGCATTTTAGCCATTGTCGAATGATCTGAATCTACTGTCTTTCACTGCCACTTTAATTTCCAAGATATTTTGCAAGACTAATTAAAGTGTTTGGGAGATCACGAGGTTATAAGCAGTTCAGAAATAAAGACAATAACTGTCTTAACTGTCACAAACTGACCCCAACATCATTAAACACTTGTTGGAAGGCAGCATGTGCACATCGCATACTTACTATTAGTTGTTCAGCTCAAGCTCCCAGTTTCATCTCATGAAACTGACAGCACTCAGGGAAATGTGAGCACTGGGTTTGAATTTTAACATGAGTATTTAAATGCTGCACATAAAGTTTACAGAACTGTTTGTTTTAAAATAAGGGTAGTGTCTGTCTCTGCTCTAAGTACAGTGCTGAAGAAAAGAAAAAGGAAGGGAGGGAATTCTCAAGACTTATTATTCAGAAACATATTTTACAGGAATTCAGCAATGCACACACACGTACATAGGCACACATGCACTCCTTAGTGCACAAAAGCCTAAAGAATTGCTTGATTTAAAGCTTCATACTTAGAGACCAGTTATTAAAATTAGAATCATTTTAAGACTAATAAATGTTTTGCTTCTCCTTCTGCATTTGCAGATATAAACTCTGCAGGGACAGAAGTCAGTCAAGCTTATTCCCTTCTGCTGCAACTTTAGAATACATGCTCTAGCCAACTGGCACATTTGTTTTTAGGTCAACACTTAAGTGGGACCCTCTGGGACCTAGGTTTGAGTTTAGCCTATGACAGCTTTTGTGAAATGAGTTCTGGCAGTCTCAGCCCCTCTCAATGAATGCACTTCCACTGTGATCCACTTCCGTGAAGAGATGTCACCACCAAAATAAAAATATATTTAAAGGGAGAACATATCATTTGAACACTTTGTAAATGGATAGCTTTTCCATCACAAAAACAAGTATCCTCCATGAAGAGCTGGTCTAACTTTAAACAGTTACTTAAACTGAGGATAAGCTGTCTTGTTCGAGCTGCTCTTTTGAAAGATTAGACTAAAACTTACTTTATAAATGCAATATGCACTCACCTATACTTTCTCCTTAACTTCCTGTTCAAAGCTCATGATCGCATACAGGAGCAAATGTCATTCATCTCCCACATTTCTTTCTTCCCGATAACTGCAACAATCACAGCTACAATTCCCTCAACAAAGACTGTCTTCATAGTAAGATTACCTTTCCTAACATCTGCAAATGCCACTGTCATTTCCAGAGGTTTTCCTGCCCTATTTCAGAGGCTGTGCACAAACTGAAATTTGACAATACATGTCAGCAACAATATATACATCAGCTCCGTCTGCAGAGATCACTGAAAATTATCTGGTATGGAAAGGAGGGTTGCTTTTTGGGGACATAAATAAATTCAAACTATTAAGTTGCTTTAAAAAAAGAATAAAATAAAAAAGAACTCAAGAATACAAAGAACAGTTTTCTTCTGCTACTGATTACGTTAACATTATTTATAAATGGAAATTAAAAGAAACATGATTTTCTCATTACTATGTTCCCTGGCAGGTGGTTCTTCTCTTTCCTTCTTCCTCCTCCTCATAAGGGATGTTATTGCTATAACTTGGTCTAATAAAACTGCAACTTTGGGGAAAATGAAAAATTGCATTGGCTTAAAAGTGTTGGAGGCAATAAAGCCATGGACTTCAATTAATTTCAAGTATGGGAGCGGTTTAAGGCCAACCAGCAGAAATTCTATTCTGCCCATGTAAAAATGAGGTTTCACCACATTTACTTTTTATAACCCATATAAAAGTCAAGTAAAAGTAATGAATATCTAAAAGTCATCTCAGTGGACTGGCAAAGGCTATCTGTACTCTTGAAACTCATCTTACATATTTCTGCCTATGCTACAAGGATCCATAGCTAATCACAACTAAAACATCAAACTACCAAGAAAACAGCCTCCTTTCCAATCCATTTCACTGCCTTGCAGTAGGACTTCCTTCCAAGCCACTTCGGCATGGAAAAGTGCTGGCAAAAGAAAGGAAAACTTAGATCATGTGGTTATAATTATTACCAGGCAAGGAATATTTCTTCAGCTCAGTGGTAAAGTAAAACTCTGTCGCTCTCTGCTCCCAATAGTGTCCATCGCAAAACAACTGCCTCATTAAATCTCTGCAGTAAGATTAATATGCCGTAGCTGCACTACATTATAACTTGGTACTCTATAAAAAGCACATTTAATGGTTAGAGCCAGAGCTTAGATACAAAGTATTACTATAAAAACTTCTGGCAGTGTGTACACAGTGTGGGCCTTCTGCACTGCTTGCTTTATCAGAAGGTTTTTTGTTTTTTATATCAGCACTGCATTCTTGCTATAGAGAAAAAAACAAAATGTTAAATCTTGCCTAGAAACAGAGAACAACACAGGACATGATGGGAAATAAATAACCAGCAAGACAACTTAACCATTAAGAATTATTTTAAGACAAAAACGCAGAAAAGCAATCATTCCTTGTCATATTGATCTCCAATTTTGAGGTCCTCTATTTTTCACTCCGTGTGTTTACAGCTGTACAAGTTTGCTTTTTTTTTTTTTCAAGTTTGCAGATAGCTGAATGGAGGCATAAGTACATTTGGAACAGTTTGAGAAATCTCCCATTTAAAAAAACAAGAGTGCTCTCTCTCTCGTTTCCTCTTTTCAAACAATATAGTTTATGAGAAAAGCCACCAGAACGTAAAAAAGGCACCAAACACAAACTCACAGGACATGCACGAAAGAGAAATACAAAGTCTTCCAGCTGAAGAAAGAATTAAGTGCATTCTTCACCTTCATAAGAGGAATAACTCCAACTGTTCTCAAACAAATTACCTACGTGTATTTAGAGATGAATGGCCTTCTAGGAATACCCTTAAGGAGTCAGCCCTAACTCCAAAAGGTGACCTCAGCTGAATGAATGAGACCATTCAGATGACTCAGTCCTGCTCTTCAGATAAAATTCTGTGGAATCAGTACCAAAGACTTTTTGGTGCTTTTACGAAGTACTTTTTGCTTTCTCAGAACCATGTTAATTAATCCCTGACTGGTAAGAAAGAAATTATACAAACAATCCTAAAAGAAATTACCCTTATCCACATATCTTACAAATACGAAAATGCTCACTAGAATGAGCATTTATCAGAACTGGTGTAGGATGGGGTTTTACATGGGGGATATAGAGAAGGATTATTTTTAACTAAAAAGAGAAGAAAAATAAGAAAAGCATGCTGCACTTTAGAAGCATTTCCCTTTCATTTGCCTGATCGACAAAAGACAGAATTTCTAATTCTCAGGATTTGAAAGGTGAGCATAGAGAAATGTTATTTTCCATTGCAAGCCCAAGAACACATTCTATGCTGAAAGAGAGAAAGAAGAGTGCAGGTTTTGCAAAAACACCCCGACACAAAGATCCCTCACACTGTTGTCAAACAGTAAGCAAGCACTAATGAAGGAATTCAGCATTACCAGTCTGTGCGGCTGTATGTCCCACACCTGCCTGCTGGTCCTCTGTTTCATTTTCTTCTACTGTCAGAAAAAGGTAAACAAAACAAAAACAAAACAAAACAAAAAGATGTTAGGTAGGTAG